CCCCGCGCCCCGCTCGCTGTCCGCCACCGCGAGAGAACCAACGACGGGAGAGAAAGGACGTAGGAGAGCGGATCCAGCGCCGATGAGGAGGACGACGACGAGTGGCGGGGGAAAGAGGGAGAGATTGACGACGGGACAGAGAGGCGCCGTGCGAAGGGAGATAGAGGGAGAGAACGGTGACGAGAGTGAGGGAGGATTGCTGCGGTGGGAAAAAGAGAAGGGTAGTATAGAAAAATACCGACCGTGGGCTTTTTGGTTGGGACACCCACTGTGAGCTTGAGTTCCTTCATCCAGATGCCTAAGATTTTAAAGAGCCTACCTAGATTATTCTCCATTGGGAGATAAGTGTCCCTACGAGTACCCTCAGTTAGGCTTTGTTGTAGATGCCCTTTTAGGGCCCCTTTGATTTGTAGGAAAAATGTAGGAATTTTGGAGGATTTTAATCCTATGGAAAAAAAATCCTATGAATGCCTTTGAAACAAAGAATTGAATCATATCCAATCCTTTAAAATTCCTATGGAATGGGTAATCATATGCACATTTTGGAGGAAAGTTAGCAAGAGGTATAACCTCTTGGAACATTTCCTCTAAGTCTATCTCTCTCATCTGATTTCTACGTTTTTCCTGTGGTCCAATATCAAACAGCCATTCCTGTGTTTTGCAATTCTCTGTTTTACAATTGTATTCCTGTCAGAATCCTGTGCTTTTCCTATTCCTTTATTTTTTCATTCCTACTATTCGGAGGAGCCCTAAGACACCGGCCAGCGGAGCGGTCTTCGGCAGGTCAACCAGTAAGGTGGTGATTGGGCTCACCACCTTTTACGCCCAGTGCGTGCGTGCTACACGCTCCGGAGTCTGCACCCATCTTCCCCACGTGCGCGCCCATCGCCGGGCCACCGGAAAGCCACCGCCGGCCATCCCGCCGCCGCGCGATCCATCACCCGGACCAGCTTCACACCCGCGTAAAATAATAAACAATCAAAGCCCCACGTTTTCCCACTCGCCCCACGTTGAATAGACCAGGCTCACCTGCTAGCTGCTAGTACTCCGGCTGCGTGACTGTGTCTGCGTCGCGTCTCCTCCACTTTTAAAACCCCCAACGACGCTCGATCCGAGATTAATTGTGCTCATACTGTTCGACGAATTGACACCATCTGCACACCTGCACCTGCACCTGCACGGCCGTGGCTGTGGACTTGCAGTTGGAGCTAGTAGCTAGCTCGGGGAGTAGTAGCTAGGTGTAGTTCATCGGATCAAGGGGGGGATGGCCACGGCGGCGGCTTGCATCTCGTTCGCGTCGCCGTCGCCGGCGCGCGTCGTGATCAGGCGGCAGACGCGGGCGTCGGCGTCGGCGTCGGCGACGGACCGGCAGGAGGTGGTGTCGCCGAAGCGGCGGCTGCCGCTGCGGAAGGTGCCGGGGGACTACGGCCCGCCGGTGGTGGGCGCGATCCGGGACAGGTACGAGTACTTCTACGGCCCGGGCGGCCGCGACGGCTTCTTCGCGGCGCGCGTCCGCGCGCACCGCTCCACGGTGGTGCGCCTCAACATGCCGCCCGGGCCGTTCGTGGCGCGCGACCCGCGGGTGGTGGCGCTGCTCGACGCCGCCTCCTTCCCCGTCCTGTTCGACACGTCGCTCGTCGACAAGACCGACCTCTTCACCGGCACCTTCATGCCGTCCACCGACCTCACCGGCGGGTACCGCGTCCTCTCCTACCTTGACCCCTCCGAGCCCAACCACGCGCCGCTCAAGACCCTCCTCTTCTACCTCCTCTCCCACCGGCGGCAGCAGGTGATCCCCAAGTTCCGCGAGGTGTACGGCGACCTGTTCGGCCTCATGGAGAACGACCTCGCCCGCGTCGGCAAGGCCGACTTCGGCGTCCACAACGACGCCGCCGCGTTCGGCTTCCTCTGCCAGGGGCTCCTCGGCCGCGACCCGGCCAAGTCGGCGCTGGGGCGCGACGGGCCCAAGCTGATCACCAAGTGGGTGCTGTTCCAGCTCAGCCCGCTGCTCAGCCTCGGCCTCCCCACCCTCGTCGAGGACACGCTCCTCCACTCGCTCCGCCTCCCGCCGGCGCTGGTGAAGAAGGACTACGACCGCCTCGCCGACTTCTTCCGGGACGCGGCCAAGGCCGTCGTCGACGAGGGGGAGCGCCTCGGCATTGCACGGGAGGAGGCCGTGCACAACATCCTCTTCGCGCTCTGCTTCAACTCGTTCGGCGGGATGAAGATCCTGTTCCCGACGCTGGTGAAGTGGCTGGGCCGCGCCGGGGCGCGTGTGCACGGGCGGCTCGCCACCGAGGTGCGCGGCGCCGTGCGGGACAACGGCGGGGAGGTGACGATGAAGGCGCTGGCGGAGATGCCGCTGGTGAAGTCGGCGGTGTACGAGGCGCTGCGGATCGAGCCGCCGGTGGCGATGCAGTACGGGAGGGCGAAGCGGGACATGGTGGTGGAGAGCCACGACTACGGGTACGAGGTGAGGGAAGGGGAGATGCTGTTCGGGTACCAGCCCATGGCGACCAAGGACCCGCGGGTGTTCGCGCGGCCGGAGGAGTACGTGCCGGACAGGTTCCTCGGCGAGGACGGCGCGCGGCTGCTCCGCCACGTCGTGTGGTCCAACGGGCCCGAGACGGCGGCGCCCACCCTGCACGACAAGCAGTGCGCCGGCAAGGACTTCGTCGTGCTCGTCGCGCGCCTCCTCCTCGTCGAGCTCTTCCTCCGATACGACTCCTTCGACGTCGAGGTCGGCACCTCCACGCTCGGCTCATCTGTCACCGTCACCTCGCTCAAGAAGGCCACCTTCTGACCACCGCCGGTCAAAGTCTCCGGCGCCCGGTCATCTTATTTTCCGTCCTCTTCTTCTTCACTAAATATTTTAGTAGTATTAGTAATTTTTTCACTCTGTATGGTGTGATCAATCAGCTTGTACGGATACGGAGTTGCACTGGTAGTGATTTTCTTTGCTGAGATAATACTAGTAGAAGATATTTTTTTTCACAATTACTTTAAAAAATCATATTAATATATTTTTCAAATTTATTTTAACTAATACTTGATTAATTATGACATAAACGCTGCTTTGTTTTGCGTGTTAATGAGTGAGGTTCACTCCCGAACACACCCTAGCTATCCTGGTAAGAACAAGGAAGCTCCAGTGCTAATGAAGCAAGCGGATATTTAGATTAGCGCCATAAAGTTGGATTAAGATTCCAGGGAGTCGGCGATGGTGATGGCTATTATCTTGTTCATTGTCACCCTGTTCTGTTATCACTTATTAGCCATATGGAGCAGGTGTGCAAATTATTTGTGACTAATGCTGAGAATCAAACTTGATGCATAAATACTGCATACAATTGTAGATAGCCAACAAACTTTGTTCGCGGTGGCGGCTATCTTAGCACTTGTGTGAGGTCGCATTACTATGCATTAATGGCTATTGTTTAGAGATGAAAGTGGATGGAGAAACCGAAAGTGATCGGTGTGATGGTGCCCAAGCGAGACTAAGTATTGTTTTATTTTCTCAATGTTGAACGGTCGCCTTGTCCACTATCAAAATCCCGATTGTGCGTGTTGAACTAGCCCGTGTGTTGTGTGCATGCTGGCATGCTGCCACACTCAAATAGTCATAGGACTGGAGATGGACACTTCAACGTACTAACAGGTTACAAGGGGTGTGTTTAGTTCACGTCAAAATTGAAAGTTAAGTTAAAATTAGAACGATGTGATAAAAAAGTTGAAAGTTTATGTGTAGAAAAGTTTTGATGCGATGAAAAAGTTAAAAGTTTGAAGAAAAAATTTAGAACTAAACTCGGCGAAGGATAACCAAAGTTGTCGCGCCAGCATTTGTACGGTCCTGAGGACCACCACCATTCCTGTGCGTAAGTAAATTATACTACGTAGTACTGAATACCGATCCATTATGTAAAAGCAGGTTTAATAGTATAGCTAACTACTAGCTCCAAATCATCTATAATCAATGTAATAGCTAATTCATACAATAGTTGCTTACTATACTATTAATACCTGGTCCTGCCTGTCATACACACATTACGTCTTGGAGTCCGTGTTGCAGCGGGCTACAGATCTGTAGCCCGCTGCTCTTATCTCTCTTTTTTTATCTCTTTACAATATGTTTACAGTTGGCTTATAGCCTGCTATTGTAACTGCTCTAAAATACTCCACCCGTCAACCTGACCGACCTAGCTATATGACCCTGACCCAATAAAGAGGCCAAAAGATGGCTTATTGGGGAAATAAGCTAAACGACTTAATTACAAACAAAAAATAATTTACAAATAAAACTTTTATATACGTATTATTAATGATATAAATGCAAATACTGAAAAATAAATTTTGATGAAAAAAATTCTTAAAATCAATTTCAAATTTAAGGTTGAAAATTTAAATTTTAGCTGATAAGCATAAGCGAAAAAAAGGCAAGAAAACCCCAGATAATCAACCTTGAGTAAAATAGAAGCGGGCTAACAACTATCCTGACAGTACTGAGTATAAAACAGATGCACATGCATTCTTACCTCCACAATAGTTTTTGCTCGGAATCTTTATGGACTTGCAAATTTCCTGTGGGCATGGAGTTCGCAATCTTTCATCTGGCTCGGCGGCTTGACGATCAGCACATCCACAAAACTGCACCCGGCCCAACTCCCTCAGCTATGCAAAAGGGATAAGACATGAAGAATACACTTCCTAGTCACAGATGCATACAGAGCTTAAAAAAGATGCAATCATTCTTTACCTTAGTTGCCTGAGGCGATCCAAAATGGGCAGGCAAATGGGCATCACCTTCGCGATTGCCTTGCCAACAGTGTATCTTTTTGGTAGCTACTTTCCCATAAAGCGGTGCGCACTAGCACAACACTGATTCTTCCACCACATCAAAATCAATCGAACCAAAATGCAAAACGGCAGTTGCTCCCGGATGGAAACACCCCTTGGAGCTTGGAATTCCACAATCTGCTTATTGCACATGGCAAGCTACAGCCTACAGAACGCCACCAACTGAATTGACATATATCTAACGTTTTGTTAACACAGTTATCAGTCACATAAACGTTCCAGCTAATCAATTGTAGGTTCAAGTACAATCATACCCTTACAATATAGCCGGATAACAGGATCTTAAAAAAAATAAGTACAATCAAGCCACGAGTTCAGCAAGAAAACTGGAATTACACTTTTGTCGCTTTACCTAAACCATTTGATACTCATCACCTTCCTGGAGACTTCTTGCACAACCCCTCAACCCTCATGCTAAAAGTTCAACATCCTCAATCCTAAATAGTGCTCATGATAGCAACCTCACCTATCAAATCGTGCAAAAAGGACTTTATTAGCCAACCAAAAGTTGCAAATGGAAAGGAGGGGATTGCAATCAGGGTCGACATACTTAGCAACAGAACAAAAGAGGGGGCAGTGGATGCTAAGGAAACCATACTTCAACTAAATAGCTATTTTAGTTAATTGACCTAGCATACCGCTACAAAAGTATCAACAAATTACTATTGGCGAGTGGTTAGCTTCTGTCTTTGATTGCTGCCCAGGACCATTCTAAGATTATTATTTTTTTAATTATTGTAGGCTTCAGTGATGCAAAGGCATAAAAGAGGTACTATAACATTGCGGTATGGACCAACATGTTTCTACCTAGATCCAAAAGTACCTTAGTTTAACATGTGGAATAATGTGCTACTGGTCCACTACAGCTACCATATCAAGGTCTTGTTATTGCCACGACAGTGGTCTAATAACAATCAAGATTGTGAAAACCATTTACAAATTGTACTGATAGTTACAACAATGGCCGGCCCTGACCCTGATGTTGACTAATTTCATGAATCACAATATTGTAACAAATTGCGTCCAAGGTCAATAGTGGCTGCCTATCTGTCAAAAGCCAGTTATAAACCAGGAAACCTCGACCTTTTTCTTGCAACACTATAGTATCCGAACGATGTAGTTTCTTGCAACAGAAAAACTCAGTCGAGATACAAAATACATGAAAAACTTTCATGATAGATTGTCTTGGGCTACAAACTTTTCATTCCAAAATGTTCAAACAATTTTTTTTCCATAGAAGACTATAAATAATTTTAAGATGCCTATAAATAATGGTGCAAAGAAAAGACAGAACATTTCAGCAGATATTATGCTATGGAATATAGGTATCTAACAAGAAAAATCATCCTACGCCAAAAGTGTTTATAATAGAGAATATCTTGTGACGTATCTCTGATTAAGTGCATCAAATCATCTTTAGTTTTAACTATAAGCTCATGCTGGAGCTTAAATTGTTGATGACATAATTAATATAGGTTTGCTGGTTTATGATGCATGTAGTCTACAGGGGCATTTTGGTTTATTGGATGCAAATGATGGCATAAAGCGTTTAAGGTGGTGTGACATTTCCTTAGCAAATCTTTTGCACTCAAATTTTAAAAATTAAATATTTGAACTTGTATGCTAATAAAACACCATAATCACATAGTACGGATAATACTGCCTTCTTCAATACAAATTTGACTTACTAGATAGGTCTTCAAGTCTAGAAAATAGAGAGGTCAGGTGGTGGTCCATATACTGATTTCCAGGACAATGGAATAGTCCATCCATTGGACCCATTTCCTGAAAATTCACAGCAGGATTTGTAAACACAGGATTCCAAAATCTGATCACAGAATATTGAATATCGATATTCCTAAAGAAGGAAAGTAAGGCAAATTACCAACGGTTAATAGATGAAAAACTAATAAACTTGATATATAGATGTACCATGGAACTGTTCAGGGCCTTGAGCAACAAGTTTGCATGCTGCCTCAGCCAACTGGAAAGATTCTGGCATATTGTCCCCTTCTGAGCAGTAGCATAGTACACAAGTAACTTTCAAGCCTTTAGCCTGTAATAAAATAATGTCATTAAACATATTACAACAGTGACCTCTAATGGTAAAAACAAATCAATCAAACCTTGCAGGCAGAGAATAGTGCTGCAAATGGCAAGCTCGAGTAGTAATCATTTATCGTCATCTCCTCAGGATCACCAGTCATATCTTCTGAAAGATGACCACCTTCAACTAGGCTAGCAAGACACTTCCACCTTTGCTGAGATGGATCGTATTCCTCAAGCTTCTTCCAGCCTAAGTTCTCACATTTCGGATCAGAACCGTCCTCGTTGCAACTTGAAAGGTAATATACTTGCATATCACTAATAGATAAAACAATTAATGAGAATGAGACGCAATCCTAATCCTAATCATAAAAGACAGGATATGTGAAGCTATACATTTCAATTACCTGGATGCATCAATTATCCTTCTCTTGCCTGAATCTAAACTTGAAAGGATAACAACATGGTCTTTTTCAATGCTGCTTATAAAATTAGCAACATTTTTTGCAAATGAAACCACCATCCCCTGAACCAGTATAAAAGGTTTAAAGGTGTCACAACTCATGAAAAAAATCATCAATTATAGGTGCAGACTGCAGACAACTTATAGGACTTCACCAACTACCAAAATTCCAAACAAAGAGTGAAAGGCCCAAGCATCGCCTGCAACTCTAGTCTCACCCCCATCGTACCTCTTTAAAGAAAAGGTCAATAGATCAATAACTATATTTTCTCTAAATCATTTCAGAATAACAAATGTGCTATGTAAATTTAGTTCACAAGGAACAAATATCCAAGGGACAGATGTTAGTCTAGGAAATGTAATGTGTGATGTACAAAAAAGAAAGGGAAGCTGATTCTATAATTTCAAACAAATGGAGTACAATTTTGATATTATAATATCAAATACAATAGAGCTCAATATTGTTCTTTATGCATTCTTGAAAGAACCCTGAAGCATGTGCAACAAAGCTCACAAGATTCTGTAACTACATGAATCATAATCACCCACGTAAGCAAGTGAAAAGTATCTTTAAGTACTCTTTGAGATTTATAAAGTTAAAACCGAAAATATGTGGCAAATAGGTAAAATCAACATACTGTAATAATTGGGGACCGTTGCTGTATGAAGGCCAGCCTATGGGATGGAGATTCATAAGCTGTAAAGAGAAAAGAGACAGAAGGTGACAAAGTAAGTAGACATTATATTTCAATTATTATTCACACACTAAGTAGTGCCATTGCTGAAGAACAATATGCGTGGCTGAATCTTAAGGTATTTTTTTTAATTTCTTGTGCCGATTATTCTCTTAGACCTGAACAAGGCATTTCATCAAGTAGCTGGTGTGCAGAGGAGGAATTGTTCATGCCGGACTATAACACATTTCATCGAACAGTTGGTGTGCATAATAGAAGGATTTAAAGTACGAACACACCCAATCACCAGTTCACCACCCCTAACACAATCCAATCCATCAAGCGTCCTGCTAGCATAGCACAGCAGAGCAAAGGACAGAGCACCCAACCTTCCAGCGCGAGCGCGAGATCACCGACGGCGTCGGGGCCGAAGGCGTCGTTGCCGGCGCAGGGCAGCACGGACGGCTCGTCGAGGTACGCCACCCGCCTCGCGCGCGACGAAGACACCAGCAGGTCGACGGCGAGCTGCCCCACGTTGCCGATCGAGAGCGCCGGCTGCAGCCCCCCAAAAAAAGGATCACCAACCCGCGTCATGAGCCATGGAGGCAAAGCTATTCAAACCGGAGAGAGGAGAGAGGTTTAGGGCGACCCGGACCATGAGGAGGGTGGAGCAGTCGGGCGAGAAGGACTCCCCCTCAACGACGGCGTGCTCCATCGCGGCGGCGGCGGCGCTGGATCCCTTCAAAACTTGGGCGAGAAGTTGAAGGGCTCGAGTGGGCTAGCTATGGAGGCAGGCAGCGGATGGGAGAAAGACGAGAAGAAATACGCCGCTTTTGTTGCGTAGAGGAGAGTGGAGACGGAGAGAATTCGATTTCGTTGTGGGCTCAAATTGGGCCGTGATTTTAGTTGCGGGCTTTGGGAGTTAAATGGGCCGGATTGGAGGTAGCCTGGACTTCCTGGCCCATTAATTAAAATCAGACGTATCCAATCGGTGCAGTGCAGGTCGTTTGGTAAACCGGACAGTTATTACTGAACGGTTTACGTGAACCTTGATAATAGTTACTCCATGGACACAACCCACCCTATAAGCTCTTCGTTTCTTGGATACTCAGGCCAGCTACTTGATTACAGAGCTTCTTGGATAGCACGTTACTCATCATGCCCAGGATTAGATCATTCAAACAAAAATTCAAAGAAGATCCTAATACTTTCTTTCCAACAAGATTTACATACAGAAGCCACTGAGAATTGGTTGACAAGGGCAAACGTTCAAGGTTCAAGTAAAGAGTAGTCCCCGCCAAAAAAGAAAGAAGAAAAGAAAGAGTAAAGAGTAGTCACGGGCTCACGGCAATAGCAAGCCAGTTGAGAAATCAGATGGGACATCAGACAAAAAGTTATCAGAACCAGCACTAGTGCTGCATATATTAACCAATGAATCGACTCCAAATTTGAAGGATTACAACCCATATGATACAATTGATGCAAAATAGCAAGGCAAAGTGGTTATATACAGAGAGTATATCTACTATATACACGGTACACGCTTCCATCAATCCATTTTACCGGCGAAAGCCCAGCGGCCAGTGAGCGGCGTCAGGCAGGGGCGAAGCGGTCCATGAGCATGCACACGGTGGCCTCGGAGTCGGAGAGGAGGATGCTGCTGTCCCTCGTCCTCGTCGTGATCTCCTGCACAACACCATCACCAACCTTACTCTTGCAGCTCTCCCCTTCGCTCTGAGCTCGCTGGCCGACCCCGGCGTCGGCCGCCGGTGCCGCCCCCCGGCCCATCTTGGCGAACTCCCCCAGCCAAACTCCAACCAGGCCCGCCATTGATTAATGATTAGTCTGTTCCTCTCTGCCTCTCCGAGCTAGCTGAGTGAATTCACTAGCTTCGCACACACACTCCAAAGAAAAGCTCAGTTGAGTAGTAGTACTTGACTGGTTGCTTCGTTGGCTAACCGCGCGGCGTTGGGGCTCTACTTATACGCGTACTCCGGCTCCGGCAACCGTGGGGAGACGGGAAGACGAAGCTACGTGTCTAGTTGTTGCGATATGTGAGAGCGGAGCGGGAGGAGGAATAGTCGAGGAAAGCTGCGTGTGGTTTCGGCGCCGTGCGCACGGCCGCGCCCGCCTCTCTTATTGGCGTTTTGTCCGCTTCGGGCTGGAGGAGGACCACGCCACGCGCGGCGCCATGTGACGCGCACGGCACGGCGCGACGCGGGTCTGATTCGAGGGAGGCTTGGGGGCCATCGTGTGGCTGGTGGGTGCCCGAGCGAGCAGCGCGCGGGGAATCAGCGTGGATATACCACCGGTTGGGCTCCCGCGATCCGGCGAGCGGATGCGGAGATGCCGCGGTGGGATGCTAAACCGACGGGGCGTGGAGTGGTATTTGATCCGGGGGATCAAACCGGATCGGATCGTACTACTGTGCTTCGTGAGGTGCAGGAACGCCATGTCGTGGTCGCGCACCTCGTTGTTGTGGACTGTGTTGGAGTAACGGTGTGCCAAAACTGCGGGAGCATTGGAGAACATCGATCCATGGTATTGGTAAATGGTAATGGTATGGCCGATAGTTTCAGAATCACCGAGGCACGTGAAATTGTACTAGTATTTGTGATTTTGTGCACCTTTGCAACTGTTGCGACACAAGGTTTGCACGTTTTTAACTCAACGTTGGTTAACTACCACGAGCTGACGATAATGTTTTTACTCCCCCACAAGGAATATAATTTTTTCCTCTTCTTTACTTCTTCACCATCTGTAATGGCTCACCGCTGGCACAGTCGGTACCCTGTACCCTGAATCCCTTTTTTCATAATGAATGGAAGATTTAGGGACTGTTTAGTTGATGAAATGAAAATTTTTTAATGTCACATCGGACATTTGACCGGATATCGGAAGGGGTTTTCGGACACGAATGAAAAAATTAATTTTATAACTCGCCTGGAAACCGCGAGACGGATCTTTTGAGACTAATTAATCCGTCATTAGCACATATGTGTTACTGTAACACTTATGGTTAATCATGGTCTAATTAGGCTCAAAAGATTCGTATCGCGGTTTACACGCAAACTGTGCAATTAGTTTTTTTATTTATATTTAATGCTATATATGTCCAAAAATTCGATATGATGTTTTTTTTTGTAAAAGTTTTTTTTTTAACTAAACAGGTCCTAGGTGGAGAATCTCTCCCCTCCTATGATTATTCCAAAAAAAAAATTTCTACTCCCCCGATTTACTCAGCTTCATCGTAGAGATCAGATCTTTTGTATGTCAGTTGTCGATCAGCTTCTGGATCTGAGTTTCTGAATTATGATACGTGTTGGTGTTGGTCAGTAACAGTAAAGGAGGCAAATATCTTTCCTGGAAGTGAAGCGAGATATTTCACACGTATCAACAAGTAGAACACTCAAATCAAAATATCTGGTTTTCAAGAAAAAGATGAAAATATCTGATTTAACCGAGTGGTGGCGATGAATTATAGAATCCCCTTCACTCGAATCGTCTCATGATCGTGTACTTCGAACCCGCTAAACCATCATATCTCGATTGAAGAAAAGTGGGCTTTCGCTACAGAGACTTCCAGGATTCAGACAGTACTGCAGTGATATTTCAGAAGATTTACACAAAAATCACACGAGACCGTCGAAATCACCAGGTTCAGATTCATAGCTAAAGGTATAGTAGCTATTTTACGATGGAGAGAGTGCCCTGTAACGCCAAGCTAAGCCTACTCTACTGGCCGAAGCAATCGATCAGGATGGACAAGAAAGCGTCTTCTTGGATCACGCTCGCCGGCGCGCCACCAACGGCAGCGGCCTGCTGCTTCTTGGCAGCCGTTTCCACGGCCGCGCCGTCAGGCTTGTTCTGGCCGTCGTCAGAACGAGCCGTGCAGCCTCGCTTCGAAGCCACCGTCGTCCTGAACGCCTGCGCGCCGCTGACCCGGATCCTCTCCCGTTCCACCGTCCAAATGTCTACCAGGCTCGACATCGATCCCGATCGATCCGATCGCCGATCGACCACAGTTTCTTCAGAACTCAGAGCAGAGATCAAACAAGGTGGATTGATGAAAGCAAAGATCGAACAGAGTCTGGAGAGGCGTTTGTATGACGACCGGGACAATTTATAGGGTTTTTTTTGCAGCTAGCACACTGATGTGCTGATGTCAGGGCTGCTGGGACCTAGCAGAATAACAATTGGAACCTAGTGACGCCATTCTTGGCACACAGGATTGAAGCAGGTCAGCCATCTGGATGTCGTTCTTGCCGCTTTAATTTAGACAGTGCAACGCCCACCGGGGCCGCGGTCTGAAAGCCGGCAGGGACGCGGGGGAGGAGCTATCTGAGACACGCGCGCGATCTTGATAGGAGGACGAGCTAGCTAGCTGCGCGGTGGGCGCGCGGTTTCGTGCCCATGCCGGCGGTGAGCGGGAAATTCCGGTGGGTGGAGTCGTCGTGTTACCGTGGGCTCGTGACGGCGACGGCGACGACAGATGCATCCTGGACTGTTCTGCCACGTCGCCATCGCCGCGTACTACTGAATCTGACTCCCCCTGCAAGCCAACGCTTTTGCTTACTTCACACAGGCAAGTCCACTTCCAACATGTATTGGGCTTTTATTGCAAACGGGCCGAGCCGCACATTGGGCTTCTGAAATTCAGAAGTTCAGAACACTCTGGCGAGCTTGGGCAGAAAAATTTCAGGCAAAACATCGGATGGATGGATGCGGTTACTGAATATATTTTTCAGTCATCATCACAACGATCTGATCGAGCAATCATCAATGGTTAGTGGAGTGAAACCCAGAGGAGAGAAAAACCTCTTTTTTTTTTTGGCTTTTTTCACAGGTATTTCAGGCTGAGTTCTTCAGGATGGTCCATGTTCCAGTTATGTCTCCCGAGGGAGATCTCCAGGTTGGGCGCAAACGAGTCTTCAGGTAGCAGCTGCTCCAGGCTTGCAAGTGATGGAGATGAGCTTGCAGGGCTTGAAGAGTTGGTAGTCGCCATGGCCTCAATGCTCGCTTGTGCTGATGCTCCTCCCATTGGTAGGTTCCCGGTAATAAGATGATCTTCTTCAGCTCCCTATTCACATCACATGACAGCAGATATATGCATGATTTGTGAAACTTTTCTGAAAGAAAATGTGCATGCTTGATGCTCTCCTAAGAAAAGATGAATTTGTACTACAACACATTCCGTTCTAAAAAAAAAAAAACTACAACACATTCATGAGATATGTTATACATAGAGATAGTACGTACACTTTCAATTCCCTACTACTAACTATTTATGATCAGATAATGGAGTACTGACTAGAACTGTTTCAGGGCCTACTTAAACAGTTACAGTCAGAAGCTATATAGTAGTCCAAAGAAGTTCAACAGAAGTTCTAGTTAAGTCAACAAAGATGTGCATCCATGGTGGAGCTAGTTAATACACTCTTCCCATTTATGCTTGTGATCTCAAGGATGCATGCATAGATATGTACCTGATGAAGAGCATCTTGAAGCACTGGTGAGTAGTTATGCTTCTGACACCGGTGCAACGAGTCAACAATCGCGACACCCTTTTCCAGCGCTGGCGTTTGGTCAGTCCTCCTGTGCTCAAGAAAAGTTAAAGCGAGGCAGCTCTTATCAATTCCATGTAGCAAAACATTTATTAACATTGAAATTGACTGTATTACTACATCAACATCTCCATATATGCATTCATGAAACCTACAAGACAGTACTAGCAGCTACTGTACTCTTATGTTTAAGCCATCGATCACTGCAGTGTATAACTAACTAATCAAGAGCTAGCTAGCCCTTCACATCTCACCTGCATGCTTTATCATTGCAGACATGAACGAGCACTCTGCCATATTTCTTTGTTGCTTAGCAAAGCTCAACACTGTTTAATCTGTGATATATATAGATCTCACGAAACAGTCATGCCCTTGGGCAGTTGCGTTGCATATGGGAACATGCCTGGCTCGATCTGTCCCTACACCACCAATGCAATGCACCCAACAACCTGGAACACTGACTGACTTAACCGATCCATTTTTTGCATGCATGGCCACCGGGCACCGGTCAGGAACTCTTCAGAAAAACGCATTGCAGCTAACACTGTTGCGAGGCCTCCATATCTGACACTATATGACTTTATTTGCTCATGCATGCATGTACATGTACTAGTATAAATCGATCGATCTTCAAATGCTATCCATCCACAGTTAGCTAGTATAGCTTCTTTGCCTCGGCTACTGTGCCTGGACTTCACTTAGGTTGTGTTTAGTTCCACATCAAAATCGAAAGTTTGAAAAAATTAGAACGATGTGACAGAAAAGTTGGAAGTTCGTGTGTGTAGGAAAATTCGATGTGACGGAAAAACTAGAAGTTTGAAGAAAAAAGTTAGAATCTAAATAAGGCCTTCACTTGATTTCTCCTACTTGACTGGAACATCGAGCTCTTCTTGTTTGAGAGAGAGAGAGAGAGAGAGAGAGAGAGAGAGAGAGAGAGAGAGAGAGAGAGAGAGAGAGGGGGAGGGATGGGTACGGTGTAGAGGGGATCAAGAAGAACAAGGTATCGAAGTGCAGGAGCAGGGGCATTATGATCGAGTGAGGAGGAGAGATCGATGCATGTGGACGCGGACAAGGAGAAGCGTGCATGGGAAGGTGACGACACGGGGAAGAGGTCGGCAGGGAAACATATGCGCTACAGAAAAAACACTAGTTGTCGCTCAGTGCATGCTGATGCAGGAGCTAGCCGACCGGCCTGCATGCACAAGTTAATTAGCTGCTTCTATGAAATTTATCAGAAATCGGTCGAATGGAAGAACAGGCGAAACTGACAAGGGCTAAACGTACTGGAACTCTTATGAAAAAAAAAAAGGCATATATGCATGAGAGGAGCTAGCAGATTGATCAGGGACGACATTTTTACCATCATGATCAGAGATTAATATAAGTAATTGGCCCTGTCTACGTGCCATCATCGACCATGCATTCATGACGATGTACTATTTCTTTTCTTTTCTTCCAAAATGCAATCTACTGGCCGCAATCTGATCAGATCATCAGAGTTGAAGACTGCAGAATTAGTAGACATTGATCTTTTCTTAAAGGCAGCTTTGTCTATACGCAACATGTGTGGTAATATAAATAGATTTGCTAAATCACGACAAAAATGGTCATTACCTCAAGTACCAGTTTTAAATACTAATGAACAGGGGCGTAGCCAGCTAGGTGGCACCGTGATCCACGGACCACCTAAAAATTTAAAATTATAGTATATATGCTAGTTAATATAGTAAAAATTGTATAGTAGACCACCCTTTTAATTGACATATTACATATAGATGGACCACTTTTACTTTAAATCCTAGCTACGCCACTGCTAATGAACAGTCTTCCAAAGAAAATTTTTAACCTTACTTTATGTTGTAAACCACAAAAAGAACTAGTAAAACTACAACATTATGAAACCAGGTTCAAGACAAATCAAAAGTATATATACACAACATTTTCATGCATGTAATTAGTCAAATATTTAAATAACTAATAACGGAAAAAAATTAAACAAGTCGTTCCAGTAGTATACTTGATCCAGAACAACATGTTTTTTTATTGGATGAAAATATTTTATCTTTATTGTAGGCTTTGTTTGGGCGACCAGTTTAACAATAGCATTTAATTTGTTTTATTAACAATTGGAAAAGGTTTGACTATATATGTGTCTTATAGGTTCTAAATCAACCAAACCATCACATAAGACGAAGTAGATTATGCGCACTCCTACTCAATATAATTAACCACTTGACATCCTTCAAAGTTCAAACACCATGCACAAGCATGAATTGAACTCAATACATTTTGTTATAATACTAGGCTGGGATTGACATATATGTTGAAAACGTCGTTATTCTTTGTTCTACAGTCCCACTCATGTACTTTTTTTTATCAATTAATTGCATGTTCTTATATATACAATAGCTAGCGAACACAGGTTGGGGTGTAGTAGGATATATTTTTTCCCTTTTAAAAAAACTTCAAATAATATATTTATAATTACGTACAGTACTTAATTAGGGAGAACTGTTGCCAATGTATATGGCAAAAAAAAAAGAACGTTCAAACAACAGCACATTTCATGCAAAACGGTGTCCTTTTCCTCTTGTCAGTAGCTATATGCGGCTTGTACATATACATTGTTTCGAAAAGATAAAAGGATAAGTGGTCATCTCAAGAGTAGACAAAGTTCAGAATTGAGATACATTGCTCCCATTGTAAAGCACGTGCAACATGCGCAAATAACCTTACAATGCTAATAATCGCTCATTTGGCTATATATTCATTGGCAGGGGTCGGAGATGTAGACCATTTCATTATATAAAAAACATGTTAATAATCGCTCATATTTTTCTTACCCTAATAATCAACGAGTTTAGCAGTGGAATATGCACACGAAGAGCCGCGCGCGCGGTCACCGTTAAATAAATGCAAATGCATGAAGTAGAGATTAATAAGTTCTGAAGCTGACACAGGATTGAACATGAACAGACCTTGTGGGAATGGTTGGAGCAGGAGGCGATGGCACTACTGCCAGTGGAGCAGTTGCTGTTGACGTCGTCGTCGCGCAGAGGAAGTAGGCAGCAGCGGAACTAGTCGCTGCGGCAGGCGGCGCAGGGGAGCTACAGATCCCAACCATGTCGTCACATGCCGGCATCATCGGTAGCACCACCCCACCACCACCACCACCACCATTTCCTCCTCCTCCAGCTGCCGCCTCCATGGCCACCTCCATTCCTGCCTGCTGCTGCAGCTGCGCCTCTCCTGCAAATGCGCGCGCAATGGTCAATTTAAGCCGCCGCGTGCAGTGCATTCTTAGTTGATGTAGAGGCGAGATGCACTTGATAGTTTAGTGCAAATGAATGTATGCAGGTTTAATTTCTAACATGCGCACATTTTTTTTAAAAAATATATTTGGAGGAACGTCTCTCCCTCAAAATCTCTTTTTTTCTTTTTTAGGCAGAGGCTGGAAGTCGTTTCAGTACATTAGAATAAATCACCGGGGTCACTGCATATATGTTTAGCTTAGTTACAGCTGGTATGTATATATACTTCTCAATCAATGGATGATATGCTTTTTTTCTAATGGAAATAAATTGAGCTACATGAATACCTGAGGCAATGTGGGATGATCTGTCTGTGCTCTTCACTGTCCTATACATCTGCATACCAGTAGATGAGTGAGTGATCAATGAGGTGCATGTCTTGTGTTGCATGATCCAAATGGCTTGTATAATTAATTACATATGCTAAGGTGGTAACTAGTTTAAAGGATATATATCTGGCTTGTCCTGGTTAGCTAGATGCCGTTTGTTTGTCACTTAGTACTTGACCCAGGGATTCACCAGAGACAAAGTACACATGTAGTTACCAATAGTAAGAACACCCATAAAAGTGGTGGAAAAAACAAAAAGAAGCCATCATGCAACAAGATTCACCATCTTCTTTCCCTTGCATGGTGGTAGCAATAGTAGCTTCCCTTTTATCACCTCTCCACTCTTTCTTTCTTTCTTTCTTTTTTCTCTTTTTTCTCTTCTTTTTCCAAGTGATACACGTACCTGGAGGTGACTCTTGACATGCGCCAGTGTCAGATCCTTCACGTTCATCAGCTCCAGCACCGACTTCGGCGTCGCTCCTGCAGATCGATCGATCATCGCCAAGAACGAGCTCGTGAGAATTGAGCACGCAAAACAATGGAGTAATCAATCGATCAATCTCACTATCTCAGGCAAAAGGAAAAGAAAATGTAGCTGCACGAATTCAGATCACATTACGAGAGGACACAGTGATGGTGAGATAAGGTAGAGCTAGCTAGGCGCTTACTCTCGTGGCCGCCGAGGAGCTCGACGGCGTGCACGAAGCGGGCGTGGAGCGCGGTGGTCCATCGCATCCGCGGCGCGCGGACGCTCCGCTTCGAGCCCGCCGGCAGCTGGGACGCCCTGGCCGCCGCGCGCTTGAACGGCGCGCACCCCTGCGGCTGCAGGTGGTGGTCGCCATGGCGGCCGCCGCCGGCGTCCGCGTGCGCCGGCGTCGTCGGCCCGAGCCCCAGGCTCAGACCGGGGGGCTCGCTGCCGGAGCTAGGGTTTCCAAAGAACGCTGCTACTTCGCCTCCTCCTTCTGCGTCTGTAATCACTCCGGTCGGCAGAGTCGTCCTCGCCGCCGTCGTCGGTGTTCCGGAGGATACCGGCGCCGCCGCCGACGAGACGGCCGGAGGGCTTATCCGGAGGGAGAGATTCGGCAGGTTCCTTTGCAGCATTGCAAGATCAAAGCTATGGGAGGTTGTCGCTGCTGCTGCTGCTACAGCTATAGCTTAGCTCAATGATCAATGGAAGAGAATACAACACCAACTACTCTCTACCACTTCTTGGATCAAACTGATCATACACTTCTAGAATTAAGATAGTAGAGGACCATATATTGTGGTGTTGGTGGTGGTGGAAGAGGAAGAGGAGAGTTATAGCAGTGGTGGTTCTGGTGTGATCAACAAGAGAAGAGGAAAGAAGAGGACATGAAGAGAGAGAGGGAAAAGGAGATGTGGAGAGATGGCAAAAGGCAGGACAGTGGAACAGTCACTGAGAAAGAGAAAGGGAGTGGTGGGGTAGTGGATTTGTGCAAAGTGGTAGTGGTAAAAAGGAGTGAGGAGGAGGAAGAGGAGGAGGGGAGAAAAAAAAAAGAAGAGGCTTGGAGCCTTGGAGCCTGAGGGGTAGTGATGAGGGCAAAAAAAGATGTGGTGATTAGGTCATGAGTGGTTTATGATTTGGTCCTTGGGAATGCTGCTTCGAAGAGAGTGTATGTAAAGAAGGGCAGGGTGTATATGAAGGGAGTACTAGTTTCTTTAAGAAGGCCATAATGAAGCTACAGTTGCTGTTCCAGGCCGGTATTCATGTACAAGCTGACAAAGAAACAAATACACTAATGGTATATGATTGATCTAAATATTCAAAACTCGACTGTAAAAAGAAAAACATAGTTCATCTTCTACCATAACATTATTCAGGCATACATATATTACTATGGTACGTATTTTTATTCCTCTGTTAGTTGTCTGGTACTTCCTCCGTTTCACAATGTAAGACTTTCTAGCATTGCACATATTCATTTAGATGTTAATGAATCTAGATATATGTATGTGTTTATATTTATTAACATCTATATGTATGTGGGCAATGCTAGAATGTCTTACATTGTGAAACGGAGAGAGTAAAAAAACAAAAGGTTTGTTGGTGCAAAATTTGGTGCATTCATTCCAACACAAATTCAAAAACTATACATATTTTTGCTTGAAGGTATCACAGAGAAAGGCGACATACATGATTTGAAACCTTTGCGGGTTTTATGTTTTTAGTACATATTAATTGCTTTGTTTTTTTTCCAACCTCGCAAGTTTTAGTACGTATCGCTGGTGTGCTTTATTCTACTTTTATCAAGAACAACTCAATTGGTACATTAATTAGAGCCATGCTTGGATGCTACTATTAATTAGTTTGTTTGGAGATATAAGAAGGTTGATTTATATATACCGTTATCTTTATGAAGGGTACGTTTTGCTTCAGATTAAACTTATTGAGGTAATGTTATATATCAGTTCATTTCAGGTTTTGGATGAAAATCCAGCTCTATTATATTATTGGATGGTAGTGGTAGACATGGTCAAATTCTTCTTAAAGACGTTGTTCTGGAGTAGGTGCATAATATTATGTATTGGACTTAGTTACATGTGCGTGAGTTGCTGCAAGGCAACATGATATGTTCATGTTTGTCTTCGTTTTTTTAGGTGGTGTGCATCCCTAGCTAGTCGATGCAGAGGCCATCTGTAATTTCATTATCTAAAGAAAATTAAACCTATACCTTCATCTTAATGGTATTATTGTTTAAAAATCAAGTCCAACTTATTTTATCCTCTTTTCATGCAAATAGCTAGAAATTTGATGTTGCCCTTAGATGCGGGTTGTGTTCAAGGGCATGTGAATCTCATGTGAAATTACAATGTCAAATTAGGGATGTGGAGCACAGTTAGATAAAGTAATTAAAGTACATGTTGAGAAGTGTGTGATCCAACTTGTTATTTTTCCTAAATAATGCTCACTTTGGTTAAACAAATATTTAAAATCAAATAATAGTGTGACTGCTAATTGATCAAATACCGAAAACATTAATGGTGTTTCCTCTATTTTTTTTATGAACAATTAGGGCGAGGGGGGCGGGGGGGGGGGAAGGAGATCTGTCCTTTCGATTAATAGATAATGAAGTAAAAGAGGTACATATAAGTTCACTACACTGGACAAGGTCACCAGTGACGGGCCCAAACCCTCACCTTTGACGGCTTTAGGCTTGGTCAGTGATCAGTGGTCACTGGTGAGTTCGGTCACCTTTGACGGGTGGAAGACCGTCACTGATGACAGTCACCTCTGACGGGTTAGAACTCTACGACCCGTCAGAGGTAAGTGTCTGCGCTAACCCATGCCATTTTGTAACCCGTCACAGATGACTCACCTGTGATGGCTCAGAGAGTAAAAAACGTCACAGGTGTGTCATTTGTGATGACATGTATGTGCAAAGCTGTCACTGGTATGGTCACCTGTGACGGCTTTTGCAATATGAACCGTCAGTGGTGAGCTTACATCCAGAAAAAAAAAATAATTTCCCCTAGGATTTGCTAGCCATGCCTCTGGAAAAACAGAACATACACATGCAATATATATGTCTCCAGTTTCAGCCCATTGCACTAAAAGTTTCAAACTAACATCACATGCATTCCAAGTTGTCACCGAAAATCCATAGACATTCACACACATGCATTGCAAGTTCTCAAATTGAGCCAAGCCGATGCTTCAAAGCACCAGAAATAAATCCAGAAAAAAAAAGAGAACATACTTCGATGCCAACATATTGAAAAATGAGAAATACAGCCTAAGTGCCATAAACTTGAACATAGCATTTCCATCTTTGGTTTCTGAGCCTGACGAATATGGTATGACATACAAACTTACAATTAGATCAGCATAAGTACAGCCCCCGATGCCTGTAATGACATCATTCAGAGAAGTTTAATGCAACAATATCCTAACAGCCTAACAACCAGATATATGTTACAGATGGGATGACAGTAGCAAGAACAGCTTCGATATGTTACAAATGCATATAACTATGCAAGAATAGCCTAACAGCCAGATAATCAGCATAAGCTGCTCCAAAACAACAAATTAAAATGGGGTCACTCTGACTGAGAAGGCAAAGATAAGTTTACCTCAAATTAGTATTCATTAGCTAGCCTTTCAACCATCCTTGATAGTCATCCATATGCATGTCAGTAGTTAAATATTATCTGAAAGAAACGGAAATAGATCAACTGGCAGAGGAAGCTCGCCATTTGTAGAAAGAACTAGCGTCTAATTTGTTCAGCTAGCATAGAAATTGGGGGATTTGTAGAGTATCCAAGAACACACCCAAAAAAAACTTCTGGTAAGAGGTCTAACAAGGAAAATAAAAATAGATTTAGTGATGCATCAACTTAAATAGAACAAGAAAACAAAGTGAAACAGCATGCATGCCCACTATCCAAACAAAATACTAGTACACAAAGAGCATCTAACTAATGATCCAATAGCTCATGATTTTTGATGGGGTTAAAGCTAGATGCATCCTTGGACAAGGATTTAGCCACAGGAACCACAGGAGACGCCGGAATCGGTTGACTGCAAGCTCAGATCTGGATGCAAGAGAAGGAAAGGGTGACTTCTGCTTAGCACTAAACTGAGTAAAATAGATGAGGCGGCAGTGACTACCGAGAATGGGGTGGAAGGGGACAGCCGACGCCTGCTCTCCCCACGACATGTTGACCTCGACGACGTGGGGTGGTGTGGACGGCGGACCGCTTACCTCACGAACGGATCTGGCGTCGCTGAAGCTAGGACTGCAGGATCTGGAGCACCCAAACTCGGGATGGTTGGATCCGCGACCTCTGAGTTCAGGGTGTCCGGATCTGGAGCCCCCGAGTTCATGGTTGCTGGGACCGTCAGGGGGAGGGTGGGGGATGTAGAAGCTCGTCGTCGACCGGAGATAAGCGGCGATGGACGGAGGGGCTTGTCGATGGCGTTGGGCAGCGGTGTGGTGCCCCGTTCGCCGATGGTCCTGACACCGGCGTTGTCTTCGTCTTTGGCTCGATACGACCCGGATCTGGCGTGGTGGAGGCGGGAAGGAGGCGGCGACCCGGATCTAGAGTGGTGGAGGCATGGCGGCGACCGTGGGCAGTGGGTGAAGGAGGCGGCGACCGTGGGCGGTGGGCGAAGGAGGCAGCGACCCGTAGGCGGTGGGCGAAGGAGCCGATGACGGGGCGGCGGAGAGACGGCGGCGGCGACAATGGGGCGGAGGGCGAAGGAGGCGGCGACCTTTGGAGGTGGGCGAAGGAGGCCGGCGGTCGGTGGGAGGAAGAGAAGAGAGACTGAGAGGAGGAGGAGAGAGACTGAGCAGGTGGCGGTGGGCCCCATGGGTGGTGGGTGGGGGTTCCTTTTTTATATGTCAAAATTGATCACCTTTGACGGGCGCAAACTTAAAATCAGTGACGAGCCAGAAGTCATATCCGTCACAGGTGACGGCCCATCACCCGTGACGGGTTGTAACTCCCTGGCCCGTCACAAATGAGGTCATACCAATGATGGGTTAGAAGTCAAACTCGTCACTATCTTACCTGTGACGGCTTAAAATTCCGGTCCGTCACAGGTAAGGTGATACCTGTGACGGGCCATGGCCAGATGGCTCACCGATGACGGTAAACCTAACGACCCGTCAAAGGTGACGGTCATCTGTGACCAATTTATAAACCCATCACTGGTGTGCCATCACAGATGTAGGGTTCTGGCGTTGTGGTTCTTTTACAATAGGATTAATCTCTGGAAAAAGGCATAATATATAAGTACATAGAATGATCTTTTTTTAGTAATGCATATATGCAGTATTAAAAAACAATATAGCATTGGTACCTTATACTGGAAATCCTAGATCAATTATCAATATGGCAAAGTACATCTTAAGAGAAATTGTTTATGTTTTAATTTCAGTGACTGGCCCATCAAATTATTTACCCGCGGCCTCTATATCCAATCGAATATATGCAATTCTTTTAAATTAAAAATGTAACCCCCAAACAAATCATTCTGAATTCATTCTTACAAAGATTTGAAATCAAGATCTTATAGTGCTACTTAAGTCACTGCAACTAATAGATGACATGTCCTTTCGCATCAAATTAAACATGGTAGGGACTAGATCAAGAATCCTAGCCAACCAGAGCTACGCATTGTGTGCCGCAGAGATGACCGGGTAGCTTTTGATCTGAAGGCAGAGAGAGAGGGGTCTCTGCAGGGTGTGCAGGACCAGCGAGGGTGTAAAATGTGCTGACAGACACCTCTCTTTTGGATGTGCACATATTCAGCAAAGCAGAGGTATAATGCCCCCAAGAGAGCCCTCTTGGGATCTTTCCGTATTCATGAAAGGAAGAGGGGTATGTGACGATGGAAGACGCTAGCTGCAGGCCGAAATGAATGTGGCGGAATGCGACAACACGATATGGGTGGCACTGCTGCTAGAGAGAGTGTGACATGATAGTGATATATCCATCAGGACAACATCCATGCAGGCAGCATCGATCTCAAGCGGTGGTCAGGTCGATCAGAAATTGATCGAGCAGCAAATTTGTAAAAATCTGCAAATTTTACACGCTGTTTAATTATGATTAGATTTGCTTATACAATACTGAATTGCTGTTACCGATCTGATCACTAGCTAGCTAGCATAA